GAAAGAAAGAAAGAAAAAGAAAGAAAGAAAGGAAAGAATAAGAAAGAAAGAAAGAAAGAAAGAAAGAAAGAAAAGGAAGGATTCCATTTATTGGAAACCTAAAGCTCCTGTATCGAGACAATTTTATTATCTAAGTTATCTATTAATACTTCTAAGAGTACTTGCAGCAATCACAAATTTTAAAGTATAAACCCGTCCACCTTATGGCTAACAATTAAAAGAAATCTGTAGGAAAGACAAAGGAAGTAAAGTCACTGACAATGAGCCAGTTATTTCCCTTGGGCATTATATTTACCTAAAAATACCCTAAAGGTGAAGGTAACAAACTCACATCTGACTATGATCTGTGAATGGCAAAGGCTTTCAACTTCTTAGGATCAGTTAGACGAGAGTCTATCTATTCTACTGAGTTAAGCGGCATAAACAGTTTAGAAATGATCAGTCAACCAGCCAACTGAGAGACTAAAGAATTCTTGTGCCAAAAGACCTTAAGAAGTTTTTAAAAAATGATTCATGAGATATTTAGGTAGAATTTGAATCACTGATTCTCAATAAGAGTCCTAAAATCTAGAAAAGGAGATAGACGTAAATGAGTGAATGGCTTGTCCCAGCAAGAGCCCTGCTACTACTGGTCCTTTCTCCGCAACCACGCTGTGTGGAATGGTGTCCACACACAGTCCACTGCTAGCCTTACAGGCCAACTCAAAAATCTGCCTTTCAGATTAGCGGAGAAAAGTTTTTAAATTTTGCTTCAACACACCATGGTTAATTTTATGTTTTAATTTGATTGAACTAAGGGATGCCCAGAGAGCTGGTAAATTGATAAAAATTCCTTGTAGGTATAGCTGTGGGAATGTTTCTGGATGACATTCACATCAGAAACTCTTTTTATTTTATTTTTTTCATTTTATTTGAAAAGCAGACAGACAGATGGCGAGAAATAGACGTGGAAACAGAGACTGCCCATCCTGTGGCTCATTTCCCAAATGCCCACAGCAGCAAGGTTGGGCCAGGCCAAAGCCAGCACATGAAACTGACTAGGTCTCCCATGTGGATGGCAGGTATCCATGTAGTTTGGCCATCACCTGCTGTCTCCCTGGGTGCACGTGAATAGGAAGCAGGAATCGGGCTCAGAGCCAGGCCTTGAACCAAGGTTCTGAAATAGGATGAAGGTCTCCCAAGCAGCAGCTTAGCTGCTATGCCAGAAACTTGAATCAAGAGAAGGAGTAAAGAAGATTTTCCCTCACTGATGTAGTACTAACCTGACTTAGGGGGAAAATCAGGAGGAATCCACCAACGAAATCAGAAGGACAAACTCAGTGTCACGACACGAAGCTGGGACGTCCCCTCCTCCTGCAACTGGGCACCATGGCTCTTGGGTTCTTGGGCCTTCACAGCACCAACCAAAGCTTACACCATCCATGTCTTGCTTTGTGGGCCTTCAGCTTTAGACTGAGGCCTGCGTTATCACACCCCATTTTCAGGAATTTGGATGTGGATGGTAACCACAGCACTGGCTTTTCTGGGTCACTAGCTTGCAGACTGTTGGATCGTGGGACTCCTCAAAGTCCGTAACTGAACCAGTCAATTCATATTTAGGAAATCTCTATTATTCACATATATTGATTTGGGGAACTATAATGCGTAGTCATACATGTTCTTTGTCTGCTTTTGGAGAATTTTGTGTTTTCAAAAGATAATTTCAATTTACTTTCTTTTATGTTAATTTTTTTAAACTCATTTTTTTTTTTTTTTAAGATTTATTTGAGAGACAGAATTACAGAGAGAGAGACAGACAGACAGAGAGGTCTTCCATACTCTGGATCACTCGCCAAATGGCTGCAATGGCTGGAGCTAGGCCGATCTGAGACCAGGAGCCAGGAGCTTCATCCAGGTCTCCCACTTGGGTGGCAGAACTTGGGCCATCTTCCACTGATTTTCTAGGGAATGAGCTGAGAGCTGGATTAGAAGTGGAGCAGCCAAGACTCAAACTTGCACTCCTACAGGATGTCAGAGCCACAGGCAGAAGCTTAACCTACTACACCACAGGGCCGGCCCCTATGTTAATCATTTGGAACAACGGTTAGCTCTAACATTTTTAGGTTAAGAACTGTTAGTAAGCCATGAAATGGAGTTCAACTTTTCTTTTTACTTCTGTTTTCGCAAGCAGCAAAGAAGTGATTTCAAACTAGAAGCAAGAGGAAGGCAGAACTTCAAATATATAAAACAGCACAGAAGCACTCCGATGTAATTCATAAGCCGAGAGATGTCCTTTTCCCATTTTATCCCTTTATGTTCCATATTCTAACCATTCTCAAGTATTTGGTGAGTCAAATTCAGAATCAGTGACCCTGACCCTGAAGACCAAATGCTTTTGAGGAGAAAACAGCCACGTTCATTATGCCATGAGATTCACCTCTAGGGCAGCTACAGGCCAGGGAGAGAAAACCTGCACAAAGCCACCAGGTGTGGCTCTGCTTCACCAGACGTCGACACACATCCACCCAGACTCTCACTTGATGCCTCTCGCCAATACAACGCGGAGATGAACACATGTTCTCCCTACTCTGAACGACTTTTGTTAAAAGGAGAAATGAGAAAAAGAGTTTAAAACAGAGTTTCCAGGGAGTATTCAAGGAGGCATATTGAATCCACTTTTCTCTTGATGTGCTTCTTCATGCATTAATTTTAAAAAGACATTTAGTGAGTACCTCCTCTCTTCGCAGAATGTTGCCGGGTGCTGGGAGTAACAGAAAAAAAAATCAATTACATTTATTCAGTGTTTAACACGTGTAGGGCACAATTCTAAAGATATTTCCTGTGTTAACTCACATCATCCTCCTGATGGCCCCGTGCAATTAAGGTATATTACCCCCACAGTTCACAGAAAAGGAACGCCACACAGAGAAATTAATCAATCCCAATCACTCGTTAGTTGAGTCTGACTCCAGGGACCGCACTCTGCCCTTCCGACTAGTCCTCAAACTAGTCCACTGACTGTGCTCTGAGGAACAGATGGGGAGCACGTGGCTGAGAATCCAAGAACCTGGAGTTTCCAAGACTGAAGACATTCACAGAAATTATTCAACTGTGTCCCTTCACATCTCAGAAAACTGGACATGGTGGGGCTGCCGTTATGGTGCAGTGGGTGAAGCCGCAGCCTGCAACTCCAGCATCCAATAGGAGCACCAGTTTGAGTCCCAGCTCCTCTACATGCAATCTAGCTCCCTGCTAATGCAACTGGTGAAGCAGTGGAAGATGGCCCCAGGGCCTGGTTCACTGCCACCCACGTATGAGATCCAGGTGGAGTCCTGGGCTCCTGACTTCAGCCTGGCCCAGTCTCAGCCTTTGCTGTCATTTGGGGAGTGAACCAGTGGATAGAGGATCTATCTCTATTTCTCTAACTATTTCAAGTAAATAGATACATCTTTTAAGAAAACTGGACATACTTGCACAAAATCACAGATAGCTTGATTTTAATAATAAAAATACAATATACATCAATGAATAATAGCTTTAAAATTCATGTTCTTCAGAGACTAAAATGGGTACTAAAATGAATACATTACCCAAAGCCTAGGAATAAGAAAAGTGATATTCTGAATTTAAAAATACAAGAAGAGGGAAAAACTCCAATATTCTGGACCAAGGAAGGAAAATAATTATGGATAATCACAACCTTAAAGTTAAGGGAAAAAATGATACAGTAGACTGTCAAAATTATATTAGATTAGCTAGATATGAAACTAGCAGAAAAAATTAGAAAATATATGCTAAAAAAGCTACCTACACCCCTATGTTACACTCCATAAAAACAACTCCTGTTTTGGTATCGCCTATCTTAACAAATATCATTATATCCCACCCAAGTCACCAGATTGGAAAACTGGGAATCAGCCAAAACGCGTATCTCTTGCTCAAACCCTTCACAGAATATCACGCCCAATTGATTCTACCTCCAAATTAGCTTTTGGATCTCTTCCACCCTCTCTGAAAAAGCTGGCATCATCTTCTGTAGGCTCCTACCTGAAATAACAACACAACTTGCCTCCTTGCTTCCAATCTCATTATACTCAATTCATCCTCCAAGCAGACATCAGAAGATTTTTTTTTCTATAATTCACATTTGATTATGTCATTCTCCTGCTTTAAACCCCTTGGAGGAATCCTATCACCCCAAGAACAAATTCCGTTTCATCTACACCAGGTCCTCTAAAATCTGCCTATGTGTCCCCCTTACGTAGATTAATCTGCCCCATATACTCCATGTTTCAACCGTAGCAAAAAGCCTACAGTTGCATGAAACACCTGTACATGGATGTACACCCTCATTTCCCTGCTTGCAGAGTTCCCTCCCCTGGTTCAGTCTGATTAAGTCATCTTTCCAAGTCATGATAAAGATTCTGCCTTTGTAGTACCTTCTATGACTTCCCCCAGGAAACGTTCAGTGTTTTCACCTCCATGCACCCCAAAGCACTTAAAATATTTACTAGAACTGTAACTGTTGGTTCGTTTTGTCTCTGATAGCACCTAGAGTGCCTCCTCATGCGGGAGATGTTCTACAAGCAGGGCCCAGAATACAGCCGGCCTAGAAATGTTGACCATACACAATCGTCTCCAGTGTCACCTGACACAGCAACCCTAAGAAGTAGGCAGGCCAAGTGCTGTTAACCTCATTAAATAGATGAGGTATTTGGAGCTCAGAAAGTTCAAGTTAGATTTGTACAGTGCAGGTAGGTTGAGTAACAGGTGCTCCTTCCATTAAATCATGATATTCCCCCAAGCCACTCAAAGCGCAAACAGAGCTGTACCAACATTCCATAGATGAACATCACTAACCAACTGAACAGGGATATGTAAATTAGTTAACTGGTGCTGAAATCAGACATTAATGTGCAAACAAACAGGGACGTATTTGAGTTAAGTGGTCATGAATATGCAAATCTACTGGCTGGAATTCAGTAGATGTCATCACAATTCTAGGAATGAACATCCTATATTATGACTATTACAATATTCATGGAGCATCCATAATGCCATCGCATATTACTATAATATAGGTTTTGCAAGTTTCAAGTTGTGGGGAAGCCAAAAGTAACTTGATGCTTGTTTTCACCCACACCAGAATTAGAAGTTAGAAATCAGATGTGCACACATGGAACTCTAGAATCTCCACAGAGAACCAACTTGCCGTCACCTGCGGTGGCTCAATCTGCACACTCGCAGATTAACCCAAGGAACTCTAAAATAGGTTGGTCCTTAGGGGTACATAGTTCACGATTTGGTCCCTGCCAATATTCCCAATCTCATCTCTCATGCAGACTCTAACAGAGCTCGATGCTGTGATAGCTATGCTGAAAGCTTCGCTGCTTTTCCTACAGGAATTTTAATAAAGTTGCATGGCTATACCACTTGGACACCACTCCAAAACAATCCACCATGTGAGGGCATTTAGCTTTTGCTCAGTTGTAGTGATTTATCGTCCCTTTTATCACAACTACATCACTAGTTCTTTGCAGTTCTTGATCTCTTAGTTGTTAAGATGAACAAACGGCAAAACCATTCAAGCAAGATAAGTTGGGTCTCTTTTCTATTTCTGGTTGCTGGAAATAACAGATTATAACCAGTATAGGTATGTATGTAGATATGTGTATCTGTGTATATATACACTTAATATAAACATCCTTTATAGAAAATTTATATCTGATAAACATTCTGAAACTCTGAGAGAATAGCCTATATTCATATTTCACATGTTTATCTATTCTGTGCCCAATGCCTGACCTCTCTCTCTCCATGTTTTATAACTGAACTTACGCCCTTTAAACATCTGTGGAAGCCTCTCTCTGCCTCTCCAACATGCGTTCATGCATCCTAGTTGCCCATGCACAACTCTGTCACCATGTGAGTCGTGGTGCCATTATCAGCTGTTGACATAATGAAATCATTATGCTATGAGCAGCATTGGATATAACAGAATTGAAACACTGGTGACTTAACAAGGCAGAGTTTACTCCTCTTTTATTAAGGAGTCTGAGCTGAGATAGTATCTTGGACCAAGAGGCATCAAAAGCACAGCACTACAGAGAAATTCAGACTTGGTTGATCTTGTTGCTCTAACTCATCCACATGGCCTACAACAGCTCGCTGCTGCGTTCTTTTGACATTTGTGGCTTCACTTGTGCTAGGCTGGGAGAGAAGGAAAGCCTCCCTCTTCCTCTAAGAGCATGACCTGATGTTACATACGCTAATTTACTCAGCTGCTAGTGGCCACAGTTAAGCTGCATGCCCATGGCCGGCTGCAGGGAAAGCTTTAAAACGTTAGTTAATTCAAGTGGCCATGTTCCTATTCAAAAGCCAAAGGAGCTATTAATTTAGAGATAGGGAGAGCCATTGTTGGGTGGCAAGTGCCAATCTCTGGACGTTGGTCTTTCAAAGGCAAACCTTGGTTCAATTCATGACTGCACCAGGAGAGCCTAGTGAGGATCAATCAGTAAAGATAAAGTCTGGAAAAGACAGGAAACAAAAAGAAGAGTGGCTACTGCCTCCAATCCTGCTAGGTCTGTAAAATCCTAGACCGAGAAGAAGGGAGAGGTAAGAGCAAGTACAGGAGCGGGAAGTCTCCTCCTGACTACACGCTGACTTCGCCTGAACCACGGCACACAGTCAGCACTACCGCAGGGACAGCTCCCAGCTTCAGTGTGGAGCCCTGCAAGCCAAAGAACCAGCCCAACTGGCACAGAAGAGTACACTTGGTCAAGATTTCTAAACAGGAACATTAAACTACACACACTGTCTTTGTTTCTGGAGCCCTGAGAGGTTTTTTTTTTCTTTAAATGAATGTCTGCACTTTTCGGGACATGTGTCATATATGTATATATGATGCTTGCACAGTTGAAGAAAAAGCAACAAAACAATACTGTTTCCAAGACTAAGCTTATAAAAGAGGACAGAACTGCAGTATTTGAGGCCTGGGGGCCTCAGCTGTGGCAGAGCTCGTGAACGCCCTGGCCTGCAGTGCCGGCATCCCATATGGGAACTGGTTCGAGTCCAGCTCCCTCCTAATGTACCTGGGAAAGCATTAGAGGATGCCCCTACACCCACACGGGAGACCTGGAAGAAGCTCCTGGCTCCTGCCTTCGAACAGCTCAGTTCTGGCCACTGCCGCCACTTGGGGGGTAAACCAGCGGATCAAAGACCTCTCTCTCTCTGTAACTCTTCTTTCAAATAAGTGAGCCTTAAAAACAATACTCGGGGCTCATGTGCTACTCTATTTGTCCCCTCCTGCATTCTTTCCAGGGGTGACCTTGTTGCTGAGTTTTATATTTATATCCCCCATGTCACCTTCTGCAGATGTCCATTAAACATGAATGTATGCTTAAGTTATACACTATTCAATTCTGCTTAATTCTGACTTTTCATTCATGCAAATGGAATACACACACTTTTATGGAAGGCCTACATTTGAAATCTAACGAAGTCCATGTCTAGTACATTTCATTTGCTTTCATCACTACATGTATTCCACTACATGGCTTGTCCACAATTTATATACCCATCCTCCTCTTCTGGGGCATTTTAACTGTCTCTAGGATTTTGTTATTGAAGCACTGTGGTTATAAACACTCTTCTCAACAGGTTTTGCGTTTCACATGTGACTTCTCAATTTGCTAAACTTTATTTTTCCTAAATGTTAAGAAACAAAAATCCTGTCCCCTCACCGCCAACCATATGTGTAGTCAGTTGTCTTAATGACCTCTATTGATTTGGCTTTCCTTTTCTACAAATCTGTAACATCATCTCCCTCCCACACCAAATTTCCATGTGTAGGGACCTGCTTCTGAGAGTCTTCAGGGTCTGGTAACGGTGCCTTGCATGCCTACCCAAAGGAATAGGAAGAGGGAGATGGAGCAGCAGCCCAAGACAGTGGGAATATGAACCCTCAACACTGCTTGGTCAAGCGATCTGTACTCAATCTGTTTTCTAGATTCAACTGTAAAATAAGACTAACACAAGAAGAGTACTACAGCTAAAACACAATTTTCTTTTTTAAAAAATATTTATTTATTTGAGAGGTAGTCACAGACAGTGAGAGGCAGAGACAGAGAGAGGTCTTCCATCCACTGGTTCACTCCCCAAATGGCTAAACAGCCAGAACTGAGCTGATCGGAAGCAAGGAGCCAGGAGCTTCTTCTGGGTCTCCCACACGGATGCAGGGGCCCAACGACTTGGACCATCTTCTACTTTTCTTTCAGGCCATCAGCAGAGAGCTGAATCAGAAGAGGAGCAGCCAGGACTAGAACCCGCACCGATATGGGATGCCAGCACTGCAGGAGGAGGATTAACCTACTGCACCACAGCACCGGCCCCTAAAACACAAGTTGAAAAGCACTAGATGATGAGCTCCAAAGTACTTCCTAGTACTAAAATCCACTGCTTTATTTTCTAGCTACAGGAATATTTATGTCAATGTCTTGTGAATTTGGATAACAAACCACGTTAGATAAGGCAACTTCTACTAACACTGTCAGTATTCCTGAAATAATCCAAATTTCATTTGGAAAATGTAAAATTATCTTACAAATTGTGCCTCACTGGGACAATAATAAACCTGTTATTTTACATTTTCAACAGTTTCTAATTATTAATTTCTTCAATATATGACATAAATGATTGTGGTTAGATTTCATTTAAAAAAAGCTCAACATAGAATAACTGACATTTTATGTGCGTATAAAGTAGGAAGTTCCCAAGATTCTGATTTCTTGTGGCCCTAAAGCCTAAGGAAATAAGCAAAACTGTTATCTTACTGATGCAAAAAAACCTGATGTGAATAAAATGATGAAAAATATGAGGTATAGTGTAAATTCAAATTTTCTGCTGTATGTTGTTAGAAGTTTTTTGTTATCTCTATGTGTTTGCTCTTTTAAAAATAGATACAGAAGTAGTCATTTATAACACTTTTAAAACTCAAATATATTATATTTCATTTAACAGTATTCTTTCTTTTCTTAGAACTGTATGATTGATTGAATGAATAGAATGGATCTTTTAAATAAGGTTATCAGTCACCAGTGGGTTCTGTGTGATAATCAAAGGTTGCATTTCAAGAGAAGTATCTAGGCTTTCCAAAGTAATGGGTTTTGTGATGGTTTTGCACCTTAAAATTCATTTTCTCTTAAATTCTAGGCTCTTCCACATGGTTCAGCTACCAGTGGTTTGTATACCAGGTTGGCAGGATTCTGAGTGAATTAGGATTATTCAGAAAATAAATCCATTTCAAGTAAATTAAATCCATGACTAAAGGACATTTTTAGATACAGCAAATTTCTACGCCACACAGATTAAGACTACAAGGCAATACACTTAAAAGCAAGCTGGGCATAAAATACTTTTATTTCCTAAGTGATTTGAAGTGATGCAATGATCTGTTCATGACCTGAGAAAAGTGTGTGTGTGTGTGTGTGTGTATATATATATATATACATATAAGGTGTATATATATATATATATACACATATATATATGTGTGTGTATATATATATATATATATATATATAAGGTGTATATATATATTAGTATTTCTTGGGAACAAATTCAGAAATTAACATTTACAAAAAATCTCTAATAATTCATTATAAAACAAATCTTACTGATAAGTAAGCTAAGACCATCCTTTTTAAAAGTGAGGTTATAAATACACAAAGAGGAGAACCAGTTTTTGCACAGTATGTTAGAGGCTAAAACAGAAGAGATAACTTAGAAAGATTAAAGTTATTTTGAAATAATTATATGCAATTTTTAAAGAAAACTAATTCTTTTTGTGTTCCCTATATATTTTTACATAGTTATTAATAAAGTCATTAAGTGAAGTTTAAAAGGCTACAACGAATTTTCTAATCAAAATTCAAAACATCAAGCCCTACAAGATTGTAAGGCTGGGGAAGAAATATGCGGCAGGAGTCTAAAATTGCTGCCCTTGACAACGCACCTCAATGCAGCCAAAATGCTCCTGAAAATGTGTGCGGGAGTGAATCTGCCTTTAAATGCTCCATCACAGAACAACTTGCTCTTTAAGAGATCCTTTTATAAATCCTTCTGGAAAAGGGACCGTCAGCCCCTGGTTAATCTATCTCAAAAGCTGTCTTACCTAAAAGCAAGGCACCTCCAAATAGACTAATTACATAAAATATCATTAAGTGTTCACCAATTACCAACAAAACATTAGAAGGGAAAAGTCAGAAAATTTAGGACAGGTCAGCATAGGCGCCCCATTTTCTCTTAGGCCAGTACTTCCATATTCACCGCATCAGGTAGACCCTCTTAGAGAAGCTAGTTCTTGGGTAGCCAGGGCTGTAGAGTATTTTAATGTCAGGGTTACAGAAATGCTACTCCCTAAACTAACAGGAAATAAACATGATACTCTCAAAAGAGTATCACTGTTGGGTACAAACAGAAATACTAAGCAGTCCCAAAGCAACTGTAACCGAAACTGAGTATACATTCCTACGTGAATGCATGACAATGATTCTCCCATTCATAAATTCAATGATTCAATCATTCATGAGTTTTATTAAGGTTAAAAGAGTCAAAAAATCACAGGACTCCTACTATGTGAACTAAAGTTTCCACTAGGGTTTGCAAATAAGTACACTGGTCTCTACAAAAAGTGGATATTAAGGGTACAGTCATCCATTATCAGATGTTTTTTAAGTGTCTAATTCTACCCAAGCATTATTCTTAGGCACGGATATGCAGCAAGGAATAAAGGTTGGGCTCCAAGTGAGAAGTGTAGAAAATCAAGTCAGCAAGCAAACAAGACACAGATGTATTAAGAAAAGCATTATGAAGATTAAATTGTTTTAAGCATTACGACAAAGAATTTTAGGATGGGGATAGGATGCCAGAGGACGTCAGGAGACAAGGTCAGATGAGGCCGGAGCCATAGTGTGGAGGTCATCTGGACCTAGTGCTAAGTAGCCTCTGCAGACCATCTCAGCTAAAATCAAGCTGTACTCAGGGGGATGCAGAACCTAAGAGCTTACTTGGGCAGGATTCTAATATAGGTGTGTGTGTGTGTGTGGTTTTTATTGTAGCCCTCATTAGATAGTATGTTCACCCATCATCTTATTCTCATGAAGAGTTACACAGTAAACCTGAGAAGCTCTGTTCAAGTGTAATGTTCATTCAAAGTCGCATCTTTCTTCTCCTACAAGACAGCGAAGCAGCAGAGGCTCAGCCTGACAGCAAGCCCATGCCCGACACAGACATGCACACACACACACACTGACTTCCACCTGTGGTCTCACTGTCCGAAACGGCAGCCCCACCTTCTTAGCCTGCTTGCCACCAGTGACCCATCTGTATCAGCACAGGTAGAGCCAACTGAGATGGGCTGATAAGCCCAAAGCAATCTCATTTGTCCAATCTTTTTCCCTCTTGCATGTAGCAATTTTTAATCGCATGATAAATGGAAAAAGTTGTCAGGAACTTCAGTTTTCTGAAATCGGGGCTTTCGAATGTTACTTTGATGATCTTTCTGGAGCATTTCTTTGCCAGCCACTGCAACAGAAGGACAAGTTGACCCAATGAACCAAAACCTGTAGCCATGTGCTTTACCAGGAGAGACAACAGCTTTCACAAGTCTCTTAGGATCGCCTGAACCATGCAGTTACAGCCTCTTGAGAACACGGTAAAATGCAGCTATCGCTGCGGTCTTTGCACCAGTCAGATTCCTGGAAGAACTGAAAAAGGATGCAGTTTTGAATGGAAAATAGGGTGCTTTGCTCTGTTTTCCTGCTGAAAGGTGAAAACGTTCATCAGAGAAGCTTCTGCATCCGAAAGAAGCGCATCCAACCTCCACGGAAGCTGGCGGCGGCCCCAGCACGTGTGGGAGCCCTTGCTCAGAGTCTTTCTTAACGATTGCTATGAACAAGGGGAGTCTGCCAACCACTTTTTTGTCCTGTAACCAGCGGTTTGCCTTCCATCTTGCTCAACAGTGCTAAGTGCAAGGGACTCGCTCTGGAAACTCTCATTATTTCAATGAATTTTCTGAAAGATGGCAAAGTTACCAGTTTGGGAAGAGTGATTCTTCCACTCGCCATCTTCACAAACTAATAGTTGTCTGCACAGTACTTGGATTTTTTTAAAAAATGTTTTTCAATTATATACAGCAGGTTCTACTTAATAAAGTTTATGGATGACGTAACTGTGGAATACAAAAGCACGCGGTATACCCCGTATTTCTCATTACACTTCAAAAGGAATGGAAGCCTATGAAAGTGGCAAGGACCGTGAGCGCCCCACCTCTTTTCAAAGCCCTTACTGCCTCTCAGTCATAGTTGTCCTCTTGTAGACCTGAACTGTCCTCCTGCAAACTGTTGCTGTGCCAACCGATAGTTACCAAACATCTACTGCAGCAGGCACTGTGGGAAACACAGGAAATAAAACGGTACTTCACTCACAGAGACGCTGCTTTGTGCAAACTCACAGAAAAGGAGCATGGACCCACAACACAGGATAGCAAGTTCTCAGAAAGAGAACAGCAGAGACGTGGTAGGAGCGCAAGGAGGCCCCACCCCCGGAGTGTGTATGTAGAGTTACAGAGAGAAGGGGCCAGCAGGAAAGCTCATCAGGAGAAGCAACAGTCAAGTTCAGCTTGGAAAACTACATGGAATTTGACCGCCCAAGGACAGCAAGAAGCCAATACGACGTGGGTGAAAACATTTGAGACACAGTGCTAAACACCTAACAGCTGAAAACACGGTAGGCACAATGCTGCCCGTGTCACAGACGCTCATGAACCCCACTCAGAGCTAACCCCCCAGCCTGCACAGCAACCTCGGGGGCGGGGTATTATTTTTATCCCTCTTGGAAGACAAAGGAAAGAGGCACAGAGGTTATCCAACTCATCCAAGGTTACACAGCTAGTGCTGGGGAGCCAGGTGCTCAAATGCAGGCGCCCTGGGCCCAGAAGCCCTCACTCGGCATCGCTGTGCTACACTTCTCTCAAGGGACCTTGCAGCACTGCAGGAAATGAAGCCTGTTGCTCATGGCTACAGCAGAGCTAGCTCACCTTTCTTCCCAACAAAAAAGATCCCGGTATCCATCATGTACCCTCATTGACTGCTTGTGCTTGAATTTGAGTGACTGCTTGTACCGCTGTCCCATCGATTACATGGCCTAACTTCTCCCCTCGAGGTGTCGCAGGATGTGGACAGTGAACAACGTTGTATTTGTGTAAGGACAGAGGTACACAGGCACCCTTTATGGTTTCCACCCAATTTTACTTTGAATCTAAAAAATAATGTTAATTTAAAAAAATATAAAATCCTTATGTTTCAATCTAAAAAAGGACAAAAAGAAACGTTTTGTCATCTAATGGAATTTATACCATCCTACTTAGAAGCATCCCTTTTCCCTTCAATAATGACAGAGGTTGCATTTGTCCTGTGCAAAATATCAGGAACTTCGGCTGTATTCCAGAATATGTGGAAACAATCATTAAAAGCAACTGTCGCTGTAACCAGAAAGAATCCTGGGAATGCAGGTCATAAAATCACATGGCATACATGCTTCAGGTCTTCCCTCAGAAACCTAATTTCTCTAGAGAGGTCCCATCACCCACACCCACCTTGAAGTTCTCCACTCCGGCTATAGAGCTCCCTTCTCTGTTCTCGCAAATAGGCGCTCATGCTGATGGCGTGGGAGGAGGATTCAAACCTACGAGGAAACACCGGCAACAAATGGTTAGGCAGTGTCCAGCTACAGACCCAAAAGCATCCTCCTTCCATCCAGGGGGCACTCCCTGATACTCCATAATCGAGAGGGAAGCTGCCTCAGCCTGTAGCTCGCAGAGCACAGTCCATCCGACTTTCCTCCCTCACAGTCCTGGGATATGCTGCCTGTTCCGTTTCAGCTGGCACAACCCTTATCCACCCCAAATTTCCTTTAGACCACCTGCCTCCTCCTCCTGGATGCCTGCACACACAGCAGCAGAAGCGTCCCATCAAAGCCTGCCATTGCCATGGTGGACGTGCCGGCTCGTTGGAGCACAACTCCTGACTTCGTAATCCTCTCAGTTAAAAGATCGGTACCAAGGGAACACTAGAAATGCCACTGAATGATGACACCAAAAAAGTAAAAAAAAAAAAAAAAAAAAAAAAAAAAAAAAAAAATGCACAGTTTCTCCCAAAAGGTCCTAAAATAATAATAATATCTCTTCTAAATGGCCACTGGTTTGGTGACTTGCCACCTGCCACCACATAAAACACTCTCCAATCTAATAAGCCACCAAATGCTCGCTCACACCCACCCAGGCACTGCTGCAGAGGTCACAAACATGGGGGCAGGCTCAGGCTGAAAACAGCCTCCAAAAGCTGCAGTAATGGATACACAAATGAAAAAAAAAAAAAAAAAGAAGCAATCAGTCTTAAGAGAGTCTTATAGGTAGTAAAAAATTACAAGTAAAACTATGACTATGTCCAACAGTCCAGCCTTTGAAGTGCTATGAGATTCCATGTCAAAACAGATTTTCAAAGGCAGGGTAAAAAAAATAAAATAAAAAAATTTTTAAAAAATCAAAGGCAGGGTAATAGGCTGACGGAAGGAGGAAGCCAAGTAGGAATTACTGCCCGCAAGGGGTAAACAGCCACAGAATGGAAGAGCAACAGGGATAATGGGATAGGTTTCTGGCAGCAGAGAATGGGCTCCAGCATTTTCTTAATTGTGCATTTTTTTTATTTGACAGGTAGAGTTATAGACAGTGAGGGAGAGAGAGAGACAGAGAGAAAAGTCTTCCTTCTGTTGGTTCACTCCCCAAATGGCTGCCATGGCTGGAGCTACACTGATCTGAAGCCAGGAGCCAGGTGCCTCCTCCTGGTCTCCCATGCAGCTGCAGGGCCCAAGCACTTGGGCCATCCTCCACTGCACTCCTGGGCCACAGCAGAGAACTGGACTAGAAGAAGAGCAACAGGACTAGAACCCGGCGCCCATATGGGATGCCGGCACCGCAGGCAGAGGATTAACCAAGTGAGCCACGGTGCCGGCCCCCTAATTGTGCCCTTTTTATCCATTCCTTGACAAGGAAGATAAACACCAAGATGAGTGAAAGAGTCTGCGAGGGAAACAGTAGGCTTACTTGATCCCGTCTCTGCACCCCGCTAAGAACCAAGAGGGCACCAACAGCCGGAAGGAAGGCAAACTGTTCAGGACTTCAAAGGGGCCACCTGCTAGCCAAGGGCAGAGAGGCAGCCAGGGACCTCCCGACAAGCATGCTGACAGCTACTGATCAGAGACTGCAAGGGGGAAAAATAAACTCCTAAGCAAGGAATGGAGAGGTGCATACTGTACAATGATACAGAACCTAAACACACTTCATTAATCTTGGCCAGGGCAACTGAAGAAGCTAATCAAGTCCTTCACAGGAGTGATACGCAGACATGACAGCTCCCCAAATCTTCATCCTCTGGGACTTGATAAATTTCTGCTGTTGAGGAATTCTGTCCATGTTCGCAACAAGCCACAGATTGATAGAATTCTACAACAGAAGAAGCCCCAGGAGTCGGTGCTGTGAAGTCTAGGCCTGCAGTGCCAGCATCCCATATGGCCGCCAGTTCAAGTCCAGGCTGCTCCACTTCTGATCCAGCTCCCTGCTAATGAGCCTGGGAAAGCAGCAGAAGAGGTCCAAGTCTTTGGCCCCTGCACCCACGTGCAAGACCTGGATGAAGGTCCTGGTGCCCACTTACTTGCTCTCTCTTTCTCTTTCTCTATCTCTGTAACCCTGCCTCTCAAGTAAATAAATAAATCTTTTAAAAATCCGTAGACAGTATTAATTCTCACCTCCTTATTTTATAGCCAAAGGCAACAGGGACTACAAAGACAGAAGACCCACTCAGGCACAGAGCTCACTAATAGAACTGTGACTAGAAACAGATTAATTGATAATAAGACCAATTCTGGGTAGTGGTGAGTTTTTATTACTTCCCCCCAAAAATATGTAATGATTATTTAAGTAAACTCGTTCATTTCCAACAATTTGTTTTTTTCTTTTAATACCAAAACTTGAGAACATTGGCCAAATGTTTGAAAATGTATATGAGAATTTCAAAAACTTATTAGTAGTCCTTGCTTATGTTCTGGTTGATCTATGGTCCTTTTTTTTTTTTTTAAGATTTTTTATTTATTTATTTGAAAGTCAGAGTTACACAGAGAGAGAAGGAGAGTCAGAGAGAAAGGCAGATAGAGTGAGAAAGGTCTTCCATCCACTGGTTCAGTCCCCAACTAGCCACAATGACCAGTGCTGTGCCAATCTGAAGCCAGGAGCTTCTTCCGGGTCTCCCACGCAGGTGCAGAGGCCCAAACACTTGGGCCATCTTCTACCACCCTCCCGGGCCATAGCAGAGAGCTGGATCAGAAGTGGAGCAGCCAGGACATGAACTGGTGCCTGTATGGAATGCTGGCACTGCAGGCAGAGGCTTTTATCCACTACACCACAGCACCAGCCCGAACCATGGTCTTTTTCCTTCATACTTCTAGACTCTTTATTCAGGGGAGCATTAAGTCTTTGACTATAATGTGAATTTGAAATATGTTATCTCTTGGGGCCTGCATCGTGGCACAGTAAGTTCATCCTCTGCCTGCGGTGCCGGCATCCCATATGGGCACCAGTTTGAGTTCTGGCTGCTCCTCTTCCAGGCCAGCTCTCTGCTGTGGCCCGGGAGTGCAGTGGAGGATGGCCAAGTGCCTGGGCCCTGCACCCGCATGGGAGACCAGGAGGAAGCGCCTGACTCCTGGCTTCAGATCGGCACAGCGCGCCACGTGTAGCGGCCATTTGAGGGGTGAACCAATGGAAGGAAGACCTTTCTCTCATCTCTCTATCTCACTGTCTAACTCTGCCTGTCAAAAAAAAAAAATTCTTGTTGAACCAGAATAAAGATCTCTTCATTCCACCTATAACAAACTTTTTGAAGTAGCCTTCATGTGGTCTGAGGTTAAAAGTTAAGGGTGATGGCTGAGAACATGAAATCTAAAGATCCTGAGGCCTGCTTTCTCCAAGAAGCCTTGACATTGACCACTAAGGTGAGAGAGAAGCAAAGAAAATAAGGAGGGTCGGGGAGAGGAGAGCAGACAGTGGGCGACAGGAGTGCCTGTCTCGGCAGCTCCCCAGGCTGTCTCCCTCGCCTGTGAATGCCCTTTTCCTCCTCTCGCCTTGCTTGCAGGCACGGTCCTGACTGCATCTGGGCATGCCGCCTCCTCCTCCCTCTCTTCCTCTGCTGTGTGCTGTGGAAAAGTGGCTCCCTGTCCAGCTGGAGACCAGGCACCAGAGATGAGCCTGCCCGGTGTAGGCCAGCCACGGCGGTCGGCTTCCCCTTCCAATGGCGGACTTGGGAACGGGCACATAAAGGCAATCCTAGCACCTGGGGGGAATGCGCAGAGGGCTTTGTCACTGGCAGAGAGGATTAATAAACGGATCATGAATAATTGATGTCTTCTGGAAAGATCAGAAATGGTACAGCCACTTTGGAAGACAACTCGACAGCATCTTACAAAGTTAAACGTGACCTGAGCACACGATCTAGCAATTATGCTTCCAGGTATTCACTCAAATGAGCTGGAAACTTATGTCCACACAAGAACCCAAACGTGAGTGTTACAGCGGGCTTTATTTACAACTGCCAAAAGCTGGAAGCAACCACGATTTCCTGCAAAGGTGAGCAGATACACGAGCTCTGGCATATCTACGCGAGGGAATATTATTTGGCAAAACAGAGAGATATGGGTCAAGACACAAGACATGGAAGAACCTGGAATGAATATTGCTAAGTGAAAGAAGCTAACCTGAAATACGTGGAATGGTCCTAGGTATATGATTGTCTCTCTCTCTCTCCCTCCCGCCCCCTTTTATTTTTACAGGCAGAGTGGACAGTGAGAGAGAGAGAGAGACAGAGAGAAAGGTCTTCCTTTGCCATTGGTTCATCCTCCAATGGCCACTGCGGCCGGCGCATCGCGCTGATCCGAAGCCAGGAGCCAGGTGCTTCTCCTGGTCTCCCATGGGGTGCAGGGCCCAAGCACTTGGGCCATCCTCCACTGTCTTCCCGGGCCACAGCAGAGAGCTGCCTGGAAGAGGGACAACCAGGACAGAATCCGGCGCTCCGACCGGGACTAGAACCCGGTATGCAGGCGCCGCAAGGCAGAGGATTAGCCTATTGAGCCACGGTGCCGGCTATGATATTCTCAAATAGGTCAAACCATGGAGACAGTAGAAACAGTGGTTTCTGGGGATCAGGGAGAAGGTGGGGATGGACAGGTGAAGCACAAATAATTTGGGGGCACTGAAGCTATTTTGTGTCACTATAATGGTAGATAATGTGACATGATGTATTTGTCAAAGCATTAGAACGGAACAATGCAGAGAATAAATCCTAATGTAAATTATGGGCTTTAGTTAATAATGGTATATAAATATTGGTTCAGAAGTAGCAAATACAAGTATACCGCACGAATGGGAGATATTAATAGGAAAATGGGGTGGCGGTGAGAAATACAAAGGAATTCTGTATACTCTTTGCTCCACTTTTCTGTAAACCTAAAACTGCTCTAAAGAGATTCAGTGTATATATGCTAAAACAAATTATAAAAGAATCCTACAGGGGCCGGCACTACGGCATACATAGTAGGCTAAGCCTCTGCCTGCAGCACTGGCATCCCATATGGGTGCCGGTTCTAGTTCTGGCTGCTCCTCTTCTGATCCAGCTCTCTGCTATGGCCTGGGAAAGCAGTGGAAGATGGCCCAAGTCCTTGGGCCCCCGCACCTGCACCTGCATGAGAGATCCAGAAGCAGCTCCTGGCTCCTGGCTTCAGATGGGCCCAGCTCCAGCTGTTGTGGCCATTTAGGGAGTGAACTAGTGAATAGAAGACCTTTCTCTGTCTACAATTCTACCTCTCCAATAAATAAATTTAAAAGAAAGAGTCCTACGAAAGAAAGAATCACATCCTACTTCCTTGGCATCATCCTCTCCATCGGACTGCAAATGATGCAAACACGTTGTGCTCCTACAGAAACCATCACTGAACTGTTGAGAACAACAAGGCAGAGAGAGGGAAAGAGCCAGGTCCTCCATGACTTGGAAGTGTCTGCCCTTACTGGCTGAGATAAGTTTCCTGGGGCTGAATCCGCTCTGCGTGAGGTTTTACATTACTTGCAGCCTAAAGCTTTTTAACATGTAAGTGCATCTACCCTCGAATAAAACTGGTTTAAAAGGAATGCACTCAATACACACGATGTGTTTCATTCCAGGCTGGGTCGCATCAAATCTCCTCTCTACTAGACCACAAGGTAAAGGAAGTGTAGAAATTTCCCTCAATTACTAAGAACACTATGAACCTAAATGGAAAACGAATCTCAAAAGAAAATCAAGTAAATGTACTATAGCCTCCAAGTACTGAAATAAAAATCAACAACACTGCAATGATACTTCTTATACACATTTATATTTACAGATACAGCTTCTTAAATATCTATTAACCTCTCAGGAGGACACATAGGTCTGAAGTTAGACCACCAGGATTTAAATCCTGTTTCTACCACTTCTTAGCCCTGTGATCTTATATTTAACCTCTTTGTGACTCAATAATTTATAAGTACAAGCAAATTATAAAATGGAATCCTTGCACATAAAGTTGTTGGAATGAATAAAGGAGACAGCCCATGGAAAATGCTTAGCACTGTGGCTAGCGAAGACTGCAAATGCTGGGTACTTTGGTGCTCAAATCTGGTATAAAACAAATTAACTAGTGTTTGTGACTCTTTTGAGACACTCACCTAGTCCAGTACCTGGTACCTGGAAAGCACTCAATCAACAGCAGCTGGTGGTTACCAAGACACATACACACACACATACAAACACACACGTACACTCTGAGCACATGGCCTAATCAAATTAACTAGAACAGTACTTAGAAAAAAATATTCGATTGTTCCTTTGTTACTCAAGCAGTTTAATACTGCTTAGGTAGAAGATTTGTATGACTTTGTTAAGAAAGGTTATTTCATATCACTGGCGCTATTTCAAGGCTAACCTATTTCATTTCCCTTCGTTTCATATAACATTCCCTAAAATCAAGCAGGGAACTTCACCTCTGTTAGTTTTCTATAAGGTTCTTCAGAAAGGCAGCTTTAGAAATTCAGAAATTTTTATTGAGTTCTGGACCAGCCAGTAGCCGTATTTCAAAACAGGCACTTCACCTTACAGATCATGAAAGTAAACAAAACTGAGTATCTATTCACTCCCTAGAACTTCTCCAACTCAACTTTAGCTAGGGCAAGTACTGGCTGTGAGGAAAGCAGAAAGTCGTCCCACTTGGAGCTAACACTTCCTGACACCTGCTATCTCACTGGCGAAATGAACGATACTTACTTGAAAAGGGAATTTTTTGGCCTTTGAGGTTTCTTCTTGGCAAAAAAGGCTGCGAACTCTCGTCCAGTACTGGCATAGCTTAGCTGAGCTGACGGTTCAGAGGCCGTACGAGTGTTTTTCATATCCAAGTACTCCGTCAACAGCATCTGTACAACCAAATAAAGAGTTTTATATACACATTTGTAATGTTATTGAGAAAAACCATCCAAAAAGCATGCCAATCTAAATCTAAAATTTAACCCTGAAGTTCAGAAGTATATGAGGAAACCTCAAAAAGGTCATGGAAATGGAAATAATAGGTAATTTTTTTCTGTGCAAGATTTTTAAAAATCCTTGCAACTTTTTCATCATATGCATTTCCAAAAACTTTTTGAAAATCTCTCATATGAATGGATTTCAATTTTTTTGGACCAAATAAATCTTTTAATTCCATTTTCCTTGAATTTTTTAAAGTACCCCTTGTATTAACCCGGCTACTCATTTTTCTAGTTGCAGATGTGAAGAAATGTTCATTTAGTCAGAAAGTCATCTATGTGTTCCTGACACACAGGGAACAGGGCATGGTGGGCATGTGAACTTGGGAAATAAAAGAAACATTTTTATGGGCATCTACTATATACTGGATAACTGAGTTAATCAACTTTTTTTTTTTCATCATAATTCAATTCTCATTATTCTACACTGCAGCAGCACTGGGAGCAATGCCTAATATTAACAGAGCTTACTATGCAGCAGGCAAATGCAGTTAGATGCATTATCTCATTTAAAGCACAACATTTTGGGGCCAGCACTGTGGCACAGCAGGTTAACGCCCTGGCCTGAAACGCCAGCATCCCATATGGATGCCGGTTCTAGTCCCAGCTGCTCCTCTTCCAATCCAGCTCTCTGCTATGGCCTGAGAATGCAGTAGAAGATGCGTTCTTGGGCCCCTGCACCCACATGGGAGACCTGGAAGAAGCTCCTGGTTCCCGACTTCGGAATGGCTCACCTCCGGCCATTACGGCCACCTGGGGAGTGAACCAGCAGATGGAAGACCTCTCTCTCTAACTCTTTCAAATAAATAAAATAAATCTTTAAAAAAGAAAAAAGGAAAAAAGATAAAGCACAGCATTTTATAAGCCAAGATCTCAGACTATGGGGAAGATGATGTTCAAGTGCAGAAAAGCGACCTGTTGGAAACAGGAGATGAGCCGTCAAACAAACCGCCAAGGACAGAACAAATATAGGAGGAGAAGCCAAAGGCAGCTAATAGGTCCTGATCTGCCAAGAATTTCCAGGGCCACCACTCATCTCAAGAGCTTCAACGCAAGGCAAGAAACTGCCTTTTTTTTTTTTTATTTTAATCACTGCTGCCAATAGGTTCTGCTTATAAAATCAACCCACTTTAGAGTCAATTGGTTTAGGCTGGGGCTAGAATCAACTATTCTACCATTTCCAAGATCAAAATCCTAAGATGTTCCCACCAATGTACAAGAAAATGGCACACTTGGAACAGAATTCACTGCGACTCTAGGAATCTCTAGCCTGGGACTACAGCGCATTAACTCAATTCTATAAATATTCACTTAATTTCAAATATACGAAAATTCACAAATGATAGAGTACAGGCGGACAAACAAAGCAATTCATGACTCAAATAAAACCTTTCACAGATTCCAGGTTGTACTTAACCACTCACTCATTCAGTACAGATAGAGGAACCTCTTTAAACACTAGCATCATGAAGCATCTTGTGAACACGATTCAGCACTGGGTGCATTTTACAACAATTCTATCTCTATAATACACACACATACGACTCAGTACTCTCCTGATTCCAGCTTCCTGATAACACAGGCCCTGGCAGGCACCAGCGATGGCTCCATAGTTGGGTTCCTGCCACAGAGGGGACTTGAACCTAGTTTCCAGCTCCAGGCTTCAGCTTTGTTCTCAGACAGGCCTCAGCTCATGTGGGCACTGGGGGGTGGGGTGACCCAGCAGACAGATACTCTGTGTATTGGTCTTTCTCTCTATGTGTGTCACTCTGCCTCTCAAATAAATAAAACACAATGATTTTTAAGAAGACTGTACCTATCAGTGGCAGTAAATATTTTATTTTGTTGGTTATTTCTATACAATGAAGATTCTACAGGGAAAGACTAAACACGTTAACAGATCAGTTTTTAAAAACTGTCTATGGAGACACTGTAGTATTATTTGCATACTGGCAAAACTCATATACTACCCAAATACTACCCAACGGTCAGGGAGACCATGGAATTTTCTGACAACTCAACTGAGGGACTCATTGTATTATAGATTTGGCACTGCTGCTTAGAATTCCAACAATCTCCAATCAAAAGATGGTTATTAATGAGAACGGAACCTCAAATTGATATAACACAGAAAGATATCTACAACGCATTGGTACAGGCAAAGCTTTCTTGGATAAGAACTCAAAACATAGGCAATAAAGAAAAAAAAAATAGACAAATGGCATTACCTCAAATGAAGAAGCTTCTGCATTGCAAAAGAAATACCTTTTCTCCCAATATACACGGGGCTTCTCATCTCTGAAACGCCTGGATTACCCTCTCCTAAATAAACCCCAACAAGCCCTTCCAAGAGCAGCTCTGATGTTCTCATCAATGTTTCAAGGCCACTCTAGGCCAGTTGTCACCCTTTTTCTGAGTCCCTAAAGAACCCATCTTCCACAGCATTCAATGAGAGTATTCAGTAAAAACTGCCTTCATACTATTAGCCCTTATTTAATGGAAATATACCTGACACCACGACTTATATCGCCCTTAAAGCGCATTCTACTTCTTTACTTCACTTACAGAGCCACACAACATATCAAATATTTGATATGAGCAAATCAAAAAACATAAATTATGAAAATTTTAAAAATGTATAAGAAGTCTTAATGTCTATATTGTTTTACACAAATAAAAGATAGTCTCAAAGTACAATGGATTCTGTAAATTAGCCTCCAGTGCAAAAATCAGTAACACAAGCAACATAAAGAAAGCACAATTTTAACCACAGGCTAAATGATTGTGATGTTCGTTGGCTTCACTGTATTTTCCTCTTATTCCTAATTCCATTTACCAGGAGCCTGAAAATACCATTTTAAAATCAGGTAGATTTTTACTTCACCCCCGAAACAGATGAAACTGACTTGTGAGATATCTCAAAAACAAGGGTCCCCTTTCTAAGGCTCTTGAAATGTGTTTGAATTAGGTCATATTTTCTACTGCACAGTCTTAACACAACCAGCAGATGTTACACCCAAATTAAAATAGAACCATATCATTTCTTTATGATTACACATAATGGTGAAGAATGTATGGCATTTTCGAAATTGAAGATAAATATTCTAAGTACACATCTATGAGTTCAAATTTCCATGTTCATAAAAGGAAGCAAGCTTTATGGGTTGCATTTTTCCTGAGGAAAACCAGCCAAGATCAAAATTCTGGGGCAAAAGGCATTATATGACAACAAATACACCCTGCCCACAGAAAATCTGTAGGATAATCCCATATTCTTACTGCCTCGAAATTCCTTAGAATCTCAGGCACTAATTACTTTCCTATTTTAAAATACAGACCAGGTTTCCCTTCTCCTGAAGTTACCCTGAGGCCAGAAGTTTCAGATTTCAGAGTAGTGGGATCTGAGAATCTTGACATTGACTGGCTGAGCATCCCTAACCCAAAAGCCCAAATCAAAAACATCATGAACAAACTGTGCATCTGGACTTCAGGCTTTCAGACTAGGCCAGCTCATTGTATGCCAGCAATTGTGACTTACTGTTGATTGAGAGTTTAAAGACAGGTGACACTTTATGGGTGATTATAGTTTCACTTGAAACATCTGTAAAATTAAAGACAGGAAACATGAAAATACAAGGTGCTTGAAAATGTACGTATCTCAGCGATATCCAGGATTCACTGTCTGTTTTTGAGAATGTAGTATGTTGGATACCTCTGTGATCAAAGTAGAAATACATACCATTTAAAACTGATGAATAGTTATAAAACTTGATGAGTAGTTACTAAGATGTTAATCAACAATCTCAGATGTAAAATGCAGGGCCACAATTTTGAGACTTCTAACTTTCTGTTTCATTGTTGACGTCATTCTGAGTGAATCCCTAACTCATCAATAAATCTTTGATATTTAATGGATTGTGAATCTTCTCTATGTAATTTATTGCCTGTGACGGCTTATAGTAATACATGTACAGTTCTCTAAAATAAGGCATTTGGCCTAACAGTTAATATGAAGTTTGGGTACTTGCATCTCATACTGGAGTGCATGGATTCAATTCCTGGCTCCACCTTCTGGCTAATGCACCTGGGAGGCCGCAGGAACAGCTCAAGTAGTTGGGTCCCTGCCACCGACACAGGCGGCCTGGACTGAGTTCCCAGCTTCTGGTTTCAGCCTCAGCCTAGCACCAGCCATCACGGGCATTCAGAGTGAACCAGTGGATGGGGACACTCTCATGCACACACTCTCCAGTTCACACTCCATTTCTGACTCTCAAATAAGCAAAAAAATTTAAAAAACTAAATATAGGATTTATGAGGTAAGAATTGAAATATTCCTATCTTCAGCTCCCCCATTTATCCAAGCAGCTCTATGTTTAAATACCTGGACTCTCCTAGGTACATAATGTGTTAGATCCATTTCAGATAACTTCCCAGCCCACAAAACCCTCTCTTCCCCTAAGAACTGTTCCCCAGAAATATGGTAAAATCTGGTGGCCATGCTTTTATATTCCTGTGATACCACCCTGTCAGCACGGCTGAGATGCCCGCCACAGTAGGCCATCCGCCAGCCTTCAAGTTGGACACTCTTCTCCAAGAATATGTGAGTCCGGTCTCTGCTGGTCAGTGTAAGTGAGGGGACGGAAATCCTTTGTCTATCCACATGACACCAAGTGGCTGCCCCAATCAAAGACAGTAAATTGGCAGAAAGAAAATAAAGAATGAACAAGACAACTGGAGAAACAGAGAAATATGCACCCAGAAGACAGATCTCAGTGTTGTAATCTTCAAGTGTTTTCCATCGTTTTATAAGTCTCATCAATAAAGCTCTTAGATTTTTGGTTCCATAATATATCTGTTTCCTCTAATATATTTTCCTTATGATAGCTTGAAAG